ATATATATATATATATATATATATATATATATATAAATATATGTAAGATAATATTGTATGTATAAAAACACATTTTATACTTTTGATGGCATAGAGAAATATCTGTGTGCATACATATGAATATCTGTATTTAACCTTCAAAGGATCAAGAACAATAGAGTTAATATATGTTTTTTAAAAAGGTGGCTATAAGAGTGAGTGATTTTGGTAAGAAGTTATATGATATTATACAAATAAAATTATCTGAAAATCATCTACTTAAACACTATCTCTGTGTAAGTTCTCTGTAGGACATTTACGTATCAATAATAATAATAAAAAAGAAGAAAAAATTTACTCTTATATATCTTATATTCTAAATTCCAGTTAACATATCTTTGATAGTTGAACTAAATATGCTTTCCAAAATATCTAAGATCATGAAGACAATATGAAATTTGCCCATTTCCTTTCACTTTGAAGTCTCATATTTAACTACTAATAAGTCCCTCGAATACTCAATCCCTAAGGGGAAGCATTTCTGTACCTGTCACCAGTGCTGCATGGCTTAGGAGTCACTTAACAATGTCAAATGGGAGTCTCATCAATCAGGTTTGTTTCCCTGCTGTGCCTGGAGACTACAGCAATACTTGTGAAAGATCAATAAACACATTAATAGAGAGAATTGACCCATCTAACATGCAGTGCAAATCTACTGAATAAGTATAATAATTTTAGCTAATGAATAGTAACAGATATAATGGTACAAGGCTACAAATGGTGTTTTTATCTTATTTTTTTTAAAAAATATAAAATCCAAGTAAATATTGATCCGGATCAATACTACTATAAACTAATTAATAACTCACAGAGTGAATGATATATGTGAAATATAAACAAAACATTAATGTACCTTTGTGTTGTTGTTGTTGTTGTTTATGATACTGGGAATTGAACCCAAGGTCACTTAACTACTGAGCCACATCCTCAGTCCCTCCCTCTTTTTTATTATATATATATTTTGGAGACAGAATCTCATGGAGTTGCTCAGGGCCTCACTGAGTTGTTGAGGCTGGCTTTAATCTGATGATCTTTCAGCCTCAGTCTTCTGAGCCACTGGGATTAGAGATGTGTAGCACCACACCCAGCTGATTTTGGTTTCTATTGTCTAATTTCAGTATTTTTAAAATAAATTTGTCCCCTGTGTAAAATAATGGTCACCTACTTGCATATGTGAAGACATGTAATAATTTGTCACTTTTTAGATGTGGAGATAAAGCACCCTTTCATATTTGTGTGGAGCAGTGCAGAATTTTAAACATTACATTGCAGCAATGATTTAGCAGATAAAATTTAGCAGATAAAAAGTCACTATCACTAGTCCTACATTTACTTAGGTCTTTGAATGAAATTTCCTTGCAAGGAATTGCTTTTGGAATCCTCCTATAGAAGCTAATAATAAATAAAATCAATATACAAAAGAAAACCTTATTTTAAAAAGTACCTTGATTTTATATTATAACTCAAGTAGAAGTTGAAATCATATTTTACCCAGGAAAAAGATGCAAAATACAAAAATTTCAATTTTTAAGCATTATTAAGTGAATGTTGTTATTTAGTAAATTTCATTGACATTCCACTATGATAGCTTCTTAATTTTCTTTTGATTCTCTCTATAGTTAGAGAGCTCATATGATGGGCTACACTTCATTCAACATTTTATCATTAAGCTCTATATACTATAGCTTATATGAAATATTCAGTAGCTACTTGACTTGTTAGTGACCAAAAAGTGAATTTTAAAATACTTTCCTTTTCTAAGAGTTTAATCAAGAAATTAATTTATTCATTTGTCAAAATGGTCATTTAATGTTTATAATTGTACATCACTATTGGATAAAATGATGAAGCAAGGGCAGAATTTATAGCTTGCAGATTGAGTAGAAGGGCACTTCACATTGGATAACAGAAGAGGAGAGCCATCTAGTAAGGGGAGTGACTCTGGTTCAAGCAACTACCCTAGAAAAAAAACCAGAATATTTAAAAAATATATATATTAGAAAGGTATTTAAACACCTAAGCAATGAAAACCTTCCAAATTAATGAATCAAAGCATTTTTTTTGAAGCAATTGTAGGGAATAGGGAGTCTAAGGAATTTCCATAAAATAAATAAATCCTCAGATCTGCCCTGCAGTAAGTTTAGTCCAACAGTGAAGATTAAAAACTACAGTAGAAACAAAAAAGAAAATGGAAGCAGAGAGACATATGTAACAGTACTTCCTCTCTTGCAACTTGACACATTGAGGCATTAACAGGAAGAGTGGGAAAGAAAATGAAGAGAGAAGAGAAATTTTAGAAAAATTCTATCAATAAAACCTACATATAGATTAAATATGGAGAACATGTGGGAAGGGAGAATCAAGCATGCAATTGTTTTAAAAAGAAGAGACTAGACATATTAAATTTAGCAATTTATTTCAGCAAAGAAAGATCAGGCCACAAACTTTACCAAAATTGAGATAGAATACTTCCCTCTACCACATGTGCAGGCTACATTTATAGCCAGAAAAAGTAAGCCACATACAGAAACCACCTCATTGACTGCATGTGGTTTTGCCTGATATGTCATGTTTTGCCAGTTTTCACCCACTGATTTGCCAGAGGGTCAGTTGCTATGATTGGTTAAGACTCAGTTTCTTCCTGCAGGAGATATTTGCGGTTAGGTTTCAATCTCTCCTCCATTAATTTAAGTTGCAGTCACTAGTACAGAGAAAGCTTTGGACCAATTTAAAAATAGGTATAGAGGTAGGTTTAGGCCAAACAAATCAATTTATCTAGTGTCACATTCGTATACTCCAAAAGATACTAGATTGGATTATGAAAATGTCTTTTTCTTTTCAGTAAATCCACAATTGTAGAACATCCCAATACTTTTCTTCATTGTCCCAAGGCTCCTAATGTAGAAAGGGAGCAAAAAGGCAAAATAATCAGTGTATGTATTTGTCCTGGTTGCTTTCTAGCAGAAAACAATCTACAGAGTACAAAATTTAGCAAACAATTAAGTGATTAAATGATGAAATAAAGCATCCCACGCTTACTTGTGCACTTACATATTTCGACCACTGCAAGTTTTTTTGTGCATGTCTCCACTTAAAAACTCTTAAGAGTTTATATTCCATTTCCTAAAATTGTAAAATTAATCACTAATCTGATAAAAATCTATGAAATTGAAGAAGAATTAGAGATTAGGTGATAGAAATATCTGTACACCCTAAAATTTAAACATGCAAAATTCACTTATTATTTCAAATTTTAAAAATTAACTAGTGAAGATTTCCTTGTGCTATGTTTGTGATTGTTAGATAATCTTGTCTTACTTTTATTTTTGACATAACTGAATCCAGTCCTTCTTTATAGATAAACCCCTTTTTGCTCCTAAGTTATATGCTGCTGAGGGCCATTACCAAGTAGGAATGACACATCGAAATTTCCTTGCCAAGCGTACCCCATGCTGCTTAGAGGACATTTGATGGAACATTGCATGCGTGTTTTAATGAGGTGACCTTGCTCAAGGACCAAGGCAGATCCGGGTTTAGAGCTGATCAGGTTTGAGGAAGTAACCGGCTCCTTGAGTTTAAGGCGTTGCCAGT